GTCTCTAGATGCTGCGGCTTTTGAAAACATGGATATTGTCGGCGCCCCAAACATAGCTGCCGTTATCAGGAATATTTTGAATCAGGACATACGTACGAGGTGATACTGGATGTGCTCAAGACTATTCACGAAATTTCAGTTAGTGTCCATGTTTTCAAAAGCCGCAGCAGGCAGAATGACTTCCGGTTCAAGGGTCAAACGGCGCCGTCGTCCAATCAGCGATGTCTCATGTTTTCCACTTGTACCTACCTTTTCCGTTAGGTTAATGTAATTCTGTTTTCTTAATGTAGTTGCGCTTTGCTTTATGTGCTTGCGATTTCCTTAATGTAGTTGCGCTTTTAGATTTGAAGTTGCAGTTTGCACTTCAGGGCCACTGTACAGAGGTGGCAAAAGCATAAAATTTTATTACTCAATTAAGTATTAATCCTACTGTTTAAACTTAAGATTGAAGCTCAAGTAAAAGTACAAGGCAAAAACTCGGGCGTGGGAAGAGTTCGGAGAGGCCATGGAAAAAGACTTCAGTAAGGCTTCGAAGTGATTCTGGTCCACAATCCGGCGTCTCAGGAGGGGGAAGCAGTGCAGTACCAACACTATTCATAGTGGGGGGTGGTGTGCTGCTGACCTCGACTCGGGACGTCGTATGTCGGTGGGCGGAAAGACCACCTTATTCCCACCAACACGTCTTCCATTGAGGCAGCAGAGCCTGGAGGCTCCGGCTTGGGTCCTCCCGTCTCTGTTGCTGAAGTCACTGAGGTGGTTAAAAAGCTCCTCGGTGGCAAGGCTCCAGGGGTGGATGAGATTCGCTTTGAGTACCTTAGGGCTCTGGATGCTGTGGGGCTGTGTTGGTTAACACAGCTCTGCAACATTGCGTGGACATCAGGGGCAGTTCCCCTCGATTGGCAGACTGGGGTGGTGGTCCCTCTTTTTAAAAAGGGGGGGACCGGAGGGTGTGTTCCAACCACAGAGGAATCACACTCTGAAGCCTATAAGGTCTATTCCGGGTTTCTGGAAAGGAGGGTCCGTCGGATAGTCGAATCTCAGATTCAGGAGGAGCAGTTTGGTTTTCGTCCTGGCCGTGGAACACTGGATCAGCTCTATACCCTCAGCAGGATTCTGGAGGGTGCATGGGGGTTTGCACAAACAGCCTACATGTGTTTTGTGGATCTGGAGAAGGCATTTGACCATGTCCCTCGGGGGGTCCTGTGGGAGGTACTCCGGGAGTATGGAGTACAAGGCTCTTTAATAGTAGCCGTTAGTTCTCTGTATGACCAGTGTCAGAGCCTGGTTTGCATTGCCGGCAGTAAGTCAGACTCGTTTCCAGTGAGGGTTGGACTCCGCCAAGGTTGCCCTTTGTCACCGATTCTGTTCATAACTTTTATGGAGCCAATATTTTAAAGCATTTGGACATTTAATTGACACCTTCTCATATAGCGAAGATTATAATTATAAGGTTCTTGCCTCAAATGATCTGAAAATGTTTTATAGAACAACAGCAACAGAAAAGTGACTTTTAACTTAATACTCTGAGCTCTTGAGGGGCGGGAACAATATACCAGGAATTTTGCGCGTTCTGGATTTTGTGTTCTTGCCAGTTGGGGCTTATGATGTGTCATGAACACATGACAATGCTCAAGTAGGCATATTGAGAGAGGGCCATTTTTCCTTAGTTTAATTGAATGTCCAACATCACACACATTTTCTGAATTAGCCATTGTTTATGTTTGGCAAAAGAAAAAACAAAAAGCATGAGGGTTAAGGATTTTTTTTTCTCTGTCCTCAGCTTCTCATACCCCACACTCGCTACACTCTGCATATTAATGTCCTGGCTCGACGGGACCTAATATCTGAGGATGGTGTCTTGACGACGGTGAGAAAATATTGTTTTGGTCAGTAACGACGTATGTGTTTTACAAATGAAAATATTTGAACTTCTAATACATTTTTCATTAGATGTCAGCTTCGGGTGGAGAGGGTATGTTCAAAATCCTGGAGGACTCCTTGTCCTCAATGACGTACAGATCCCTCTGCATACCTGATGACATTGCAGATCGTGGGATGGAAAATATTCCCAACTTCTACTACAGAGATGACGGACTGAAACTGTGGAACAGCCTACACAGGTACAATTGGTTATGGAATTCAGTTTTAAACCTGGATAATCAAACATGTGGAAGATGGTTTTTTTCATTTAATAACTACAAAGTTACTTTTAGGAATTTCTTAAATTTCCTTTGGTATTTCTTTACAAATTGAAGAAATTATTTATATAATTGAATATTCAGGTCATCATTTCCAGATGTTCACAATGATTTCTAGTCTTTGGTTTAAATTATTCTTTGAAAAAGTTAAACACCTAATTTACACAGAATTGGGTAGTGACTGGATTAATATTCTGTAAACATCTACATAGAGGAGGTTACTTGTTACTGTGTGTTATTTATTTTAGTATTCTAAATATCTAAACTTTCAAATAATATGTGCTTTATTTCTAAACTCAACAGAGATATTATGATTAAACTATTACTCAGTGTTTAAGTAGCCCAAGTAAATTTTGGTGTAGCGCTTTTCTTACTTTAGTAAAATTTTTTGGAGTACACAACCCACTTCTGGGTGGAACTTCAACTGGTTTTAGTAATTTATTAAAGAAATCTTTTTTTTTTTTTTTTTT